AGATCAAGACATAGTCTTTCCGAATTGTTTTCCCTAACCCATGGATAGGCCGGTACACCTAAATTCCCCTACATCTACTAGCCTACCATGGAAAAATTCACACAACCTACTCAAGTAAGCCAGAGCCCATGTTAGCTTGTGGCTGCACACATAAGCCTCTAGTCATGACAAATTGTTTGATCCCTTTGAACCTGGGTGGCTTACCATACAAGAGTGATCCATTGGTTACTCCAAGACACTTGAGCAAATCCCTGGTTACTCTAGGGTGCCCCTCACCATGCAACCATTCCACCCAGATGATATATTAAATTATTAAAGTTCGTCCTATTTACTACTCTCTCACATGTTTCATGATTCAGTAATTCCACCCATATGATATATTAAATTATTAAAGTTAGTCCTATTTACTACTCTCTCACATCTTTCATGATCCAGGAATACCACCCCGTCTAAAAAAGCAAGGCTAAGCAATTTACTTAACAACGACGGTTCCCATGGTGTTCAAGGGTCATAGGTTCCTACCTCAAAACTCTACGAAGTATAGCCACAAATTCCACCATCCTAACCATGCATTGTATCAAGTTGGACTAAAAATGCATAGGAAAAACATGGGTATAAAAAGAGTATGATTGAAGTGTGAACTTGCCTTGATGATGATCATTGAACTCTAAAGATTGATAGTATTCAGCCTCGCACTACGAACAATCTATCATAAGCAAACAATATCACATACATAAACAATCAAAGATCTAAAATAAAACAATAATCAAAATTATACAAAACTCCAAAAAGAACCAAATAATGCTTCTAAAAAACATATTTTAATCGTATGGAAATTGTGTGATCATGATTATAGAAGATAATAGAGGTCAAGAGCTTCAATTTGCAAAAAGAATCAATTCAAGCGGATTTATATATTGGAAGTTATGGCCTAATGAAGTTTAAATTTGAATTTGAACAAATTCAGATTTTATGATTGCAAAAAATATAAAGTGATTTTCTCAATGGATAGATGGGATCATGATGAATCATTTGGCGTTGGTTCCATCAAATTTGGATAAACGGGCAAAAAGTTGTGATGTTTTGAAAAGTACTGGCTAATCTGTAAAGAAAATAATTATATCTAGGCCCGTGGACACGTGGCATACTGCTACCGGATGAAAATTGCTCGCTGCGGAGCTTATATGGTGGACAACTAAGGCTTAAGAGAAAACAGTTCAAAAAAAACAAATCGATCTAATCCCGCCCGTTGATGCGCAATCGGAAGGACGGAGGGGGTTGCGAGTTACAGCGACCGATGATGGAGTTCGAGTAGACAACTACGGGCGGCTTCGGTGATCTCTGGCGTCGGACAAAGGCATAGGGAGGAGCGGCGCGACGAGGTGAAGCCGATGGTGGTGGTGGCGGTCCTGGGAGACGACGAGGTGAGGCGGGGCGTTTTGGCATAGCTCCTGTGGAGCTTGCAACTCCATCGAGAGGATGCGAGAGGTGGGGTGGGGCTTGGGTGACGCAGCTTGAGGAAAAAGAGGGTCAGGGTGCAGGGGAGTTTATAGGCGGCCTTCTTGGGCGAGGAGGCAAGCTAGAAATAGGATTAGGAAGGTTTAAACGCGGCGGCGCTCGGACGTTGCGACGGTGGATTCTGGCTCGACCACGCGATGAAGGTGACAGGTGGGTCCCACCCGTCGATGACAAAGGAGAGAGAAAGGAAGGGAGAAGTGCAGGTCGTTGATCGCCACTTGATCGGACGGTAGTCTGCGGCGCGTACCGCTTTGAAAGGAGAGGCAGGCTTGGGCCGAAAGCGTTGCAGGACCAGCTAGCTAGCGCCTGGGCCTGGGCCTGAGCGCTTTTAAAATAGAAAACCTTTTTTTCTTTTAAATGAAACAGAAATAGCTTAGGGCTAAAATAAAACAGTAAAGGGCTACAAAAATTCTAGAATTTTTTTCTAGAAACCCTAAATATATGGACTCATGTGAACTTTTTCATGGCCTAAATTGCAACTTTTGAAAATAATTATTTTTGCAAATTATTTAATTTGAGTATTAAAAATAATTTTCAAATAACTTTAAAATTTCCAAATAATATTCAAATACTTTTTGGACTATTTTTTATATTGAAGGAGTCATCTTATCTTCTCTCATAATTTTTTTCTTGAGTGAAAATGATTTGAATATTTGAAAAAATATAAAAAGAGAATCAAAGATATTTGGGAAAGTCCTTTTATTCACTATCATTTAATATTCATAAACTCCAAAATTTTAAATATGCATAAAAACAATGGTATGCCTAAATGATTATAGTAACATTACAAATTTAGAAAATTTGGGATGTTACAATCTAGGGCGGCGGATCAGCACTGATGGCGAGGATGGGGAGTAAGCATGGCGGACGGGAGGGCTTGGACGCAGGAAATGGTGGAGGTGGCGAGAGGAGGGCAAAGGATTTGGTGGGTTTTTGTGCAATTTGTGATGGGTAGGCCCACAATTTGTGATGGGTAGGCCGTAGGCTTGTCGGGTCCGACATAGCAGACGCACCCGGTTGCGACCGGGCCTCCCCATATCGGCGCTACTTTTGGGCTGAAAATGAGAGGTATCGGTTAGCCTCGACATTTGAGGCATGTTTGAGGCGCTCGTCTGGGTCGGTTGTTTTTAATCAGTTACTGACCAGACAGCCGTCCAGACGTTTGAGACAGGTTTGAGATGTCTGGCTGTAAATACTTTTAGTGAATAGTTTTGAATAGTTCTTCCGCATCATGTCTCGACATGAAAAAGGATGATTGCAGTCTTGGGACTATCGTGAGAGATTTCCTAAGACTGGTCATAGTGGGGAGTAACATAGACTAGTGTCGTGCATATGACACTAGTCTAAATTACTACCTTCATAATGCAAAGTAACATAATAGTACTTCCTCCGTCCGGGTTTATTAGGCCTAAAGACAACTTCTCTTAGACCAAGACACATAGTAATTTGCTCACATTAATTCTTTCATTCTACTCCCAATGCACTCTCTCACATGCATGCAACCAATGAAAAAGCATGCATGAAGTGTATTAATTTTCCAGCCTTAGCACCAACAATAATGACTTTCAATGCAACCAATGAAATGGATGCATGCATGCACCTTTCCAAAGCTAGACCTTATAAAAAGGGACATGCTTGTGATGCTGAGAGGCCTAATAAACCCAGACGGGGGGAGTAGTATCATAGATGACTTCATTTATTAACTTGTACTCCCTCCAGTCCTTTTTACTCTGCATATTAGGTTTGTCTGAAGTCAATCTCATCCAACTTTGACCAAGTTTATATAAAAATTATAGACATTCACATAACAACACCAATATCATTAGATTCATCTTGGAATATATTTTCATATTATATTTATTAGATATTATAGATGTTAATAGTTTCTAATATAAATTTGGTCAAATTTAGTAAAGTTTGACTTTCGGCAAATCCAATGTGCAGAGCAAAAAGGACCGGAGGGAGTAGACTCATCTTGTCTCGAGAAGCGCCATGTTACCACCTCTCACTAACTACTTGCCACATAAGCAAAATTTTCTTGAAATGTGCTATGTTACTATTTACTCCTCCGTTCCGAATTACTTGTCTTGAATTTGTCTAGATATGGATGTATCTAGACTCATTTCAGTGTTAAATACATCTGTATCTAGACAAATCTAAGACAAGTAATTTAAAATGGAGGGAGTAAATTACTTCCACTTTGACTAGCCTAAAGGAGTTCACCAATCTATAAGGCTGGTCATAGTGGAGAGTAACTTAGACTAGTAACATATATATGTTACTAGTCTATGTTACTACCTTCATAGTGGGTAGTGTCATAGGTGTGGTAACATAGTTGCCTTCATTTATTACTTTGTAGACTCATTATGCATTGGAAACCGCTATGTGATGGTAACATATTATATTACTCTATTTGCCTCTCTCCTCATTAACTACTTGCCACATCACCAATTTTGCTTATGTGGCATCTATGTTACTACCTATGTTACTCCCACTATGACCAGCCTAAGTGGATGACCCCGTGCATGCGTGTCGCCGCAATTTCCACCAGAGAAGGACAACTCCGTGACCTGGTTTAAATATTTAGCGACCGAGGGCAAGTTGACAAAAAATTTGTCTGGTCACTGCCTAGTCAGAGCGATAACATTTTTGTGAGAGAGATCGATGACTTAAATAAGCAATCAAATTATCAAACCAGTATGTATATAATACAGTATAATCGCACCAAAGCACTACCCGGCCCGCGCGAAGTGATAGGCTTATTGTAGATGGTCATCATGATAGGCTGCCACTCTGCATTTGCCCACTGAATTAATTGTGACGTTGTATCCAATTGACTCACAACTCACAAGCTATGCTAACCACTAGTAGTGCCAACTATAAAGTTGTAAAAGCACAGCAAATGACCATCTTATACAGGCATACTCGTTTTAAGTTGTTCAGCATACGCTGATGACTCACAAGTCACAACTCACAAGCTATACTAATCAGTTTACTAGCTTAATGTATCCAATTGATATAGACACTTTCACGTGCTATGCTTTAAGGTCACGAGCCTATAAGTACAATCCTGGTGTCTAACTTAAGCCAAGCCTTGGTGTGTACAGTACAACTTTTCAGGGCTCTACCAGTATTTGGTTTGACAGAACATTGCTATGCTTTATTGACAAAACAACAGCGTTCATAGAGATGATTACAATATCGTGTGGCACTCCAAGCCAAACATGTCGGCCAACGTTAGGAGATAAAGCAAAATTTGCTAAATTATGTGATTTCAAAGTTACTACTGTGAGGTTCATTGGCGTACCGGCATTCTTCAAAATGTTTGGAGCGAAAGTTGATCTCTCGGATGACAGATTGACAATCCGCCTGAATTATCTGAAATATCTTTACCGTTTCCCCTCGCATATTAGCTGCAACCTGTCTTTATTATGGACATGGCCTGCTCTCAAACTAACATTCTCGGACACTCGACATTGCAGGAAATCAACCTGTTTCCGAACGCCCCAATTAATCTCCCTCGCCGGACGTTCACCGTCACCGCGCAGCAGATTCACCGCCTGAAGCAACGCGTTTCCGGCCACACTGCCCCCGCGCAGGCCGGTTCCACGCCCGCGCCGTCCAGCTTCGTGGCCGTCGTGGCGCTCGCCTGGGTGTCCTTCGTCCGGTCCAAGCACCCGGCCGTCATCTCCGCCGACCACGACGTCTACGTCTTCTTCTTTTTTTTTTTGCAGGTGTACGTCTTCTTCTTCATCGACTGCCGCGGGCGGCGCGGCATCGACCCACCCGTGAGCCAGAACTACTTCGGGACGTGCATCACCGGGTGCCTCGCCAAGGCCACGGCGCGGGACCTCCTCGCCGTAGATGGTTTCGCAGCCGCCACGGCGGCGGTGCAGCGGGAGGTCCGGCGAGCGGCCGAGGACCCGCTCGCCCTTTGGGACTGGATGGACCTGCTGTCGTGGATGCCAATGGACCGGTTGGTGAACATCTCCGGGTCGCCGCGGTACCCGGCGTACGAGGTGGCCGACTTCGGGTGGGGCGCGCCGAGTAGGACGGAGCTGATCACCATGAACAACTGCGGGCAGGTGGTGCTCGTGGCCGCCAAGGGCGGCGGCGGCAGCGTGCAGGCATCCGTGTGCATGCACCCGGATCACATGGGCGCGTTCAAGTCGCACTTTCTTAATTCCTTGTCAGGTTGATTCATGTGTATGGTTACTATAAAAAAACAAGAAATCTGATAATAAGGGCTATTGTGCTATTAAATTGGACTGGCAAAAGGACTTGTGCGTTGCAATGGAAAAAAAAACATCATAATTTTCCATGGCCATGACCATATTTTACTGCATAACCGAGATACACTATCACTTTCAATTTCATGAAACAATTTTTCAGATTGTGAACATTTTTTCAAATTCACGAACATATTTGAAATAGTGAATATTTTTTAAATTGGTGAACACTTTTACAATTTTTTTTGAATTCATGAACATTTTATACTATTTGCAAAAAAATATTGTGAACATTTCTTTAGACAATTCCTTCAATCGGCGAACATTTCTAGAATCGACAAACATGTTTTTGGAAATTGGTGGAATAATCTTTGAAATTCACAAACATTTTATGATTTAAGAAACATTTTTTTGAATGCATAATTATTTTATGAATCAACGAACATTTTATGAATGAATAAACTATTTTGTAAGTCACGAACATTTTTTGAATTTTTAGGATATTTTTCCATTCATGGACATTTTTTGAATTGGCGAAATTTTGTTCAATTTCATTAACAATTTTAATACATGAGCTTTTTAAAAAAAATCATTAACATTTTTTAATTTACCTAATATTTGTTTCAAAATTTTGAAATTTTTTTAAATAAGCAAACATTTTTTACAAAATCCCTAAAAAAATTGACTCCACACACACTTTATGATTTATTAAAGATTTTATTTCGAATTTCTCATTTTCTTTTTAATTTTCAGACTTTTTTTAAGTCCCAAATTATTTAGAGTATAAAAAACAAAATAAAAATAAAAACATAATCTAAAAAACAGGTTGCCCAGACATGGGCTGGCCCAAACGGGCACGCTGCGTCTTCTCCCAGCGCGCAGAGCAGAGTATATGAGGTCTCTACTGCATGGGCCGGCCCAGGTGGGGGATTCCCCTGTGTAAAATGTTTTTTATCACTTATATGTCGCATTGGTAGGTAATGTTTTTCAATTTTGGAGGCAATTTCCGTAACGTACCGCCAGAAGCAATAGCCTCTTTATTATTATTAGGTATAGATACACACAAGTCATATAAGGGCATCTCCAACAATAACCCGCAAATTTCCTCCCGCATCCATCCGCGGACAGGTGGGGCTAGTTCATGGAGACAGATGCAAGAGGCCGTCATCCAACCGTAGCCGCATACATTTCAAACACTATTTCAACAAACCAAGTGAAATTCGTGCAAACATGGTCATATTTCATACAGACACGGCGGATTGTCATTACATTTTGAACATTTAGAATAAAAAGAAACGACCCGACCCTAAACCTATCCTACAACAGCAGCGGCCAGTGTCCTAGCCCGTGTCTTCCTCCATCCACGGTCTCCATGAGCACCGGTGATAAGACACGTGAAGTGAAGGTGCGATCTCTGGCGAGGAAGAATAGAACACGGGAAACGGACCGTCCCACATGGGACATAAGGCCCTGCCATCCCATGGCCTACTCGTCCTTTGAGGAGTCTGTGACCCGTCCGTCGCGGGTGGACGTGTGGTCCACAATGGAAATGGTGGTGCCGGCGCTGTCGTCGGCCCACCGGGCCGCCTGATGGTTCGGCAGCAGCGCGTAGGAGGCGCAACTAGCGTTGTTCTCCTCTGCGATCACCTGCACCTACAGCTACCGCTTCCTAGCGAGCGGTGGCTTGAGCGCGGACAGCATTGTAGAGGGCATGCTGCTCTGCGATGAAGTTGGGGTTCGCTGCGGCCATGGACATCACGGCCTCCTCGCTCGCACGCTCGTCATAGATCTGGCCCTCCGCCAGGCGGTGATGCTCCAGGATGAACAGGTTGTACCGCTGTTCCTCCTACGTATGTTGGAACACCGACAAGGTTGCCATCGCAGGCTGCACCTCAGCCATGGCGGCATTCTAGTGTGCATGTGCCTGCTCCATGGGGAAGCCGGCATGCACAAGAGGCGCGGGTGCCAGGGCGGTGTCATCAAAGCCCATCTCCATCTTGGTGACGTCCTCATCGTCGGAGACCTCGGGGTGAGCTGGCCGGTAAGCCGGCCTAAATCGGCCTGCCACCTACCATAGAGCTTCGCCAGGCGGCGGCAAGGGCCACCACGACGTGCTTCATCTCCATGGAAAGGCTCTCCCATTGAGCTTCGCCGCCTGCACTCATGGCGGATGCATTTCAAGGGAGGAATATGGGGAGCGCTTATGTTGTGTTGTGGAATTAGCCGGGTGTGGCCGCCTTTAAATGGATGGTTCCGGTGAGGTGAGGCATCCGGGTGCGTCAATGTGCGACGTTGTAGTGGGTTTCTTGGCCTGGGAGCCTATTTAATGTCGGCATATATATGGACGGACAGGGGCAATGAACGGGCGTGGTAGATATCCATCCTATCCCATTCAGTCACGTGTCTCCGGCATTGAACTGGCGCGGGCACCGGAGACGCGACGCAGGCAGTGCCCCTCGGCTGGCGTGCCACTTCAATGGCAGAGGCAGTGGGAGGTCATGTCCGCCCTGAGCTGTCTTCAATGTGAAGCGGCGCGCTGTACAGCGGCATCAATGCGTGCAGCTGGTGTCAGGCGGGAACGCGCATGGGTGAGGGAGGAGGGGCTCGGGTGGGACAGGGCAGTCAGAAGACGGGTGGGTAGCAGTCCGGACTCCCGCAAAGAACCCCCACGTTTGTCTCCGGTTTGCGGGAGAAAGTACGCCTGGACCGCGCCGTGGACCGATATAGTACCGCATTTGATGGCTTTCGCGGTCCGGACGGATGCGGGATGTTTGAGGGTTGGTGTTGAAGATGCCCTAATATCAAAATAGCTAAATGTGAATCGCCTGGAAATCCAATCTGGGTCAGTCGATTTTTCTAGAAGGAAGCAGGCGCCAGAGGGAAGGAAGAAGCAATTGTCGGCTCACCGAAGAAGCTTTCCCATTATCTATCATTAGGAAGGGGACAACACGATGATGTGAGGAGGTTGAGGAGAGGGCAGGGCAGCGAGGTTGATTGGCACGCCGCGAGCCGCGGACGATGGTGGCTGGTGGTACGATTGGCGGTTGGGGGAATACGAAGATGGTGGTTTCGAGGTTGAAGAAGCAAATGATACATCTCCAACGTATCTATAATTTTTTATTGTTCCATGTTGTTATATTATCATTCTTGGATGTTTTACAACCATTTTATAATAATTTTATATCATTTTTTGGGACTAACCTATTGACATAGTGCCAAGTGCCAGTTGTTGTTTTTTGCTTGTTTTTTACATCGCAGAAAATCAATATCAACCGGAGTCCAAATGCAGCGAAGCTTTTTGTGGATTTTTTATGGACCAGAATACACCCAATGGGCCGGAGAAGCACCTGGGGGTGCCCCGAGGGGGGCACTATTGGGGAACGCAGTAATTTAAAAAAAATCCTATGCACATGCAAGATCCTGGTGATGCATAGCAACGAGAGGGGAGAGTATCATCTACGTACCCTCATAGACCGTAAGCGGAAGCGTTATGACAACGCGGTTGATGTAGTCGTACGTATTCACGATTGACCGATTTAGCACCGAAGGTACGGTACCTCCGTGATCTGCACACGTTCAGCTCGGTGACGTCCCGCGAACTCACGATCCAGTAGAGCTTCGAGGGATAGTTTCGTCAGCACGACGGCGTGATGATGATGCTACCGGAACAGGGCTTCGCCTAAGCACCGCTGCGATATAACCGAGGTGGATTATGGTGGAGGGGGGCACCACACAATGCTAAAAGATCAATGATCAACTTGTGTGTCCATGGGGTGCCCCCTCCCCCGTATATAAAGGAGTGGAGGAGGGGGAGGGGGCCGACCTCTCTAGGCGCGCCCAAGGGAGTCCTACTCCCACCGGAAGTAGGATTCCTCCTTTTCCCTTGTCTGGTTTTAGGAGAGAAGGAAGGAGGAGGAAGAAGGAAGGAAAGGGGGGCCCGGCCCCCCTCCCAATTAGGATTGGGCTTGGGGGGCGCGCCCCCTCCTGTGCTTCTTCTCCCTCTCTTCCAGTAAGGCCCAATAAGGCCCATACACCTCCCGGGCGGTTCCGGTAACCTTCGGGTGCTCCGGTATACTCCTGATTTCACCCAAAACCATTCCGATGTCCAAACATAGGCTTCCAATATATCGATCTTTACATCTCGACCATTTCGAGACTCCTCATCATGTCCATGATCAAATCCAGGACTCTGAACAACCTTTGGTACATCAAAACACATAAACTCGTAATACCGATCGTCACCGAACGTTAAGCGTGCGGACCCTACGGGTTCGATAACTATGTAGACATGACCGATCGTAACCGAACGTTAAGCGTGCGGACCCTACGGGTTCAAGAACTATGTAGACATGTCTCCGTTCAATAACCAATAGTGGAACCTGGATGCTCATATTGGTTCCTACATATTCTACGAAGATCTTTATCGGTCAAACCGCATAACGTTATACGTTCTTCCCTTTGTCATCGGTATGTTACTTGCCCGAGATTCGATCGTCGATATCCCAATACCTAGTTCAATCTCGTTACCGGCAGTCTCTTTACTCGTTCTGTAATGCTAGATCCTGTAACTAACTCATTAGCTACATTGCTTGCAAGGCTTATAGTGATGTACACTACCGAGAGGGCCCAGAGATACCTCTCCGACAATCGGAGTGACAAATCCTAATCTTGATCCATGCCAACTCAACAAACACCATCAGAGACACCTGTAGAGCACCTTTATAATCACCTAGTTACGTTGTGACGTTTGGTAGCACATAAAGTGTTCCTTCGGTATTCGTGAGTTGCATGATCTCATTGTCATAGGAACATGTATAGTTATGGAGAAAGCAATAGCAACAAACTAAACGATCATCGTGCTAAGCTAACAGATGGGTCAAGGCAATCACATCATTCTCTAATGATGCGATCCCGTTAATCAAATGACAACTCATGTCTATGGTTAGGAAACATAACCATCATTGATTCAA